TCAAACTGAAGAAGACTGCAACCTTACATTCTTAAAACCTATCCAGGTTGCAAAATTATCAGTGCTAGGCGGATAAACCAAGCCAAAAATCACTGGGGAATGAAACTCACCCAAAGGTACTCTGTTCATTCCAGAAGGCCACAATATGGTGGGAGGAGTCTCAATTATGACATCACCAGGTTCAACTATTCTTAAAGAAACTAGAACAACCTTGCGTGAATAGAAGCTGTTCCACCATGACAGTGGTTCTTTTGAACATAAGCACAGAACTACAGGGAGAGCCACATTATGGTTAGGCCCAACCTTCTATAAGATGACATTTGGAGTGTCATAATCTTTTCCCTTTCTCCCAAAGTGCAAAATAGGAGTGCAAAAAAACACATCCACACACATACATCAAGTAACCTTTCACTGATATCTGAGGCATTTCCAAGGTCAAGAGCCCTATTTTTCTATCCTGGGGACTTGGGTTTTTTTTTCAAAATGTGCATCAGTGATATTTCTTGAGGTTTAGATAGATAGATAGATAGATAGATAGATAGATAGATAGATAGATAGATAGATAGATAGATAGGTAGGTAGGTAGGTAGGTAAATGTTAGCAACAGAAGAGTCTTTTGACGGGCTTTGCAGCTTTGGAGATCATGAATATTTTAGCTGAAACCTTTGCCACAAAGGTGCATGGGGAGCCATGCCAGCTTCTTACTCAGAGCTGGTAGCACTTTGGAATTTCCACTGCCTCAACCTTTGGAGAAATACATAAAGACAACAGCTGCCCAATCCCAATGCTGCCCCCAGAGAGAAGGCTGGATTCATTACTCTTGGCACTGCAGAAAGCTTGGAGGACTCTTCTTTTGAAGTAGGCATTTGATCTGTGTACTGTAGATGGAGACCTGGGAGCCCTTTTTAGTCAGGCACACTGTTGTACTGTGGATTATTTATTCTGTTTTATTGTATACCGTAACCATCCAGAGTTGATTGATTTGGAGAATATAAACATGATGCAAATAAGTAAAAAAAAGTTCTTAGCCATGATTTGTTGAAGTACAGTTTGCATTACTTCCACAGCATTGTGGAGCATCAAACTGAAGAAGACTGCAACCTTACATTCTTAAAACCTATCCAGGTTGCAAAATTATCAGTGCTAGGCAGATAAACCAAGCCAAAAATCACTGGGGAATGAAACTCACCCAAAGGTACTCTGTTCATTCCAGAAGGCCACAATATGGTGGGAGGAGTCTCAATTATGACATCACCAGGTTCGACTATTCTTAAAGAAACTAGAACAACCTTGCGTGAATAGAAGCTGTTCCACCATGACAGTGGTTCTTTTGAACATAAGCACAGAACTACAAGGAGAGCCACATTATGGTTAGGCCCAACCTTCTATAAGAAAGAAATACATTTATCAAATGACCTAAATTCCCCTCAGAGTACTTGTACAGAGATAGATAGGATGTACGTGGATCTGCTAATTTATAGGAGTATATTTGCTTGCACTATGCAGTTCTTATATACAGATAGTCCCCAACTTACAACCGTTCAAAGACAATGGCACTGAAAAAAGTGATTTAAGACCATTTTTCACACTTACGACCTTTGCAGTAGCCCCATGATCATGTGATCAAAATTTATGACCATTGCCATGTCCCGAAGTCCTGCGATCCCTTTTGCAACCTTTTGGCAAGCAAAATCAATGGGAAAGCCAGATTCATTTAACAACCATGTTATTAACTTATCAACTGCAGTGATTCACTTAACAACTGTGGCACAAAGGTTGTAAAATGGGACAAAATTCACTTAACAAATGTATCACTTAAGATAAATTTTGGGCGCAGTTGTAGTCATAAGCTGAGGACCACCTGTAGTTGCAAAGGAAATGGCTATAATTAGAAATCCAAAATTTACCCTTTACTCAGGATCCCAGTGAATATACAGTATATGGGAGGGGTGGGGAACCTTGGCTCTTTTATGACTTGTGGACTTCAACTCCCATGCTGGCTCAGGAATTCTGGGAGTTGAAGTCCACAAGTCATAAAAGAGCCCAGGTTCCCTACTCCTGGTATATGAAATATATATAGAAACATTTATATTTTGTTCCTTTTCAGCCCTCCAGTTTTTCAGGTGATTTGCTTGAGTTGAGGACGATTGTCGAAAGCTTTAGTTCATCCTGGGATGTATTTTGCATTTTCATGGAATATTTACTGATGGAGGCCTGGAGAATTCTTACTTTCTGTCTTTTCAGCATAGTCAAGCAGAATATTCAGTTATGGGTAGTATAATTCACATAGTATCAAGATATAAAATAATCTCAAGATACATACTAGTTTTGCCTGCTTAGAAATGACTTTATTTACAACATGAATCATATTTCATGCTATTGTCCTAAGGAAATATAGTCTCCCATAAACATTTTCTAATCGAAAGAACAGAGCTAAACTATTCCCAGAGTATTAATCAAATCTACCATGTGTGTGGTGATCTTCAAGCGTTACTGAACTACCAGTCCAATTGGAGTTTAGAAATCATTGGAGGAAGGTAATGCCTTTGTTTTGTTTTGTTTAACTAACTAGTTATACTGAGCCATAAAGCAAACTTCTTTATATCTTTTCCCATGACAATAAGGACTAGAGAGTTTGACTACTGTGCAGTGATATATTTTAAAAAGGATGGGGGTAAGCAGCATATATACCGTAAATGCCGGCGTATAAGGCGACTTCCGCGAGCGCTGAAATCGGCGCCAAAGACGGGGGTCGTCTTATACGCCGAGTCGTCTTATACGCCGGAAATACTGGTAGTTTCCGGCGTATAAGACGACGTTCTAGGAATGCGGCCCGGCTATAAAGACGGGGGTCGTCTTATACGCCGGGTCGCCTTGTACGCCGGCATTTACGGGTATGTATATATTTTTACAAAAAACATTTAGCTATAGTGGCATACATGAGAAAAAAAAGAGAACATGGTAATCTATTGCCAGTTACTATTGAACTGAAGGTTGCTGAAAGAAAATGGGAGTAGAGACATACAGCTTTTGCAGTGTAAAATTAATCCCTGAAATAAATGATTAAATCCCCTTCCATTAGCAGTCAGCTCAGCTTCTTTTCCATGGCACACTTGTAAATTAGTTTGTCATCCACTATTATATTCCAAAATTATGAATTCCATAATAACTATGGAATATATAAATTATTTTATATCTTGATATTATGTGAATTATACTACCCATAACTGAATATTCAGCTTGACTATGCTGAAAAGACAGAAAGTAAATATTCTCCATCAGTAAATATGATTTCTAATGATTAAAATGAATTTTTCTGCAAGTGCTTAAAGTTGGTGGTAAGGAAATACAGGTAGTCCTAGAACAGTTCATTCGTTTATTGACTGTTCAAAGTTACAACGGCACTGAAAAAAAGTGACTTAAGACCATTTTTCACACTTATGACCATTGCAGCACCCTCAATGTCATGTGATTTATATTCAGATGCTTTTGCGACCTTCTGACAAGCAAAGTTAATGGGGAAGCCAGATTCACTTAACAACCGTGTTACTACCGTAACAACTGCAGTGATTCACTTAACAAATGTGGCAAGAAAAGTCGTAAAACGGAGCAAAACTCACTTAATTATTGTCTCACTTAGCAATGCAAATTTTGGGCTCAGTTGTGGCCATAAGTCGAGGTCTACCTATACTCCTGAGAAAGCATCAACACCACTCTTTTGCAGCCTTCTGACAAGCAAAGTCAATGGGGGAGCCAACAACTTTCTCACTTAACAACATAAATTTTGGGCTCAGTTGTGATCGTAAATTGAGGACTATCTGTATTCAGCTTAACGCAGGTCTCCAAACTTGGCAACTTTAAGAGGTGTGGACTTCAACTCGTAGAATTCTCCAGCCAGCATGCATGACTTAGGAAAAAGCAGTCTCTTGTTTCCTTGTTTTGGCTAGGAAGAGTCCTAGTGAGGCACACATGACTGAAGTATGAGTACTTTTACTGGGTGTTATTTACTGACTTCTACTTCTTCCCTGTTTTGGAAATCAAGGAGAACAAGTGAATGAAGGAAATCAAGTCGCTCACGTGTCAGATATGCTTTTAATTTAGCCCTTATATCCAAATCAATGAATATTTTATGCCTAAATGAATTTGCGGAAAAATACTGTCCACATCCAATCTAACACTATCCCTTTGGACGGGGAACTCATACTACCCTTCCTCTAATATTATGGCTATTGGCTATACTTTGAATGGGACATGCAGATCCAAATTCTTACTTGATAAAGTTCAGTAGGTGATCTTCTTCCAGTTATTTTTTTTCTCAGCCTAGCTTACAACACTGAGCTATCATGACATTTTTTAAAGGACAGGGAGAAGAAATGTAATAAGTAAATAAATAAAAATAACTGTATAAATTAAAAAAAACTGTACCATATTCTAAGCCAGGGTGGGCAACTATGGCAACTTTACGACCAGTGGTGGCTAAGGAATTCTGGGAGTTGAAGTCCACAGGTTGCACAGTTGCCATAGTTTGCTCACCCCTGTTCTAAGCTGTACTTTTTCAAAATGAAACCTTTGCTTTTGTGAGTTTAATGCTCACCCCTGTTCTAAGCTGTACTTTTTCAAAATGAAACCTTTGCTTTTGTGAGTTTAATGTTCTGATTACATATGTGGCTAAGCTTTATATGTGAACTAGCCTAAAATGAAGTTGTGTTACCTAACCATGATTGAAAAGTGTGAAAGGAAATGGAGGAAAACTTCTCTTCCAGACCTGATGAAAACTCTTCATGGCTGAAACAGTATTTTCATTTTAAACAGTGCCTTAAGATTTTTATACTTACTCCTTAACCAGTCTTAAAAATCAGCCACAAAGCTAAAATACACACATGACACATAGAACGTACAACTGTGACTTGAAAATGAAAAAAAAGTAAGAACAGAATACAGAATAGTTTGAGAGAAACAGAATATTTACTCATGTTAACAGTACATAAAATACTATGAATTTAAAACAAAACCAGTTGTGGAATTATTATCATGGGTACAGCACTTTTTAGAGCACACTGATTCACTTTGACTGAAGTGGCATAAAAGCCACTTGCTAACAAACAAAGCTGGGTTTCTTCTGCGCAGACTGGAATGATTCTCTTTGCTTCTCCTGGATGAAAAGAAAACAGCAGCAGACACATTTGTGTCACTTTGCCTTATCAGGAATCGCTTTGCGTTATCAGGAACCGCAAGTGGATGTCCTACAAAATAAGCTGTCAGATGAATACAGATATATTGCCATTACATGGAGAGAGAAGAGAGAGATTAACTTAATCAAAGGTTGTACTAGAAGTGTAGTAAGCTACTTTCCTTAGTGCTCGTGATTAGCACATATTCAGATTTTAGAGTGCACATAGTACTGTAGCTTTATTTATTATTTATTAAACAAATTTATGTAGCCACTCATACATAGGTGACTCTGCAGGCTTCAACATTTATCAAGATAGCATAAGTCCCATTTTTTTCTTCCCTTGCTTGACTTGGAGAACTAAAATCTTCAATATTTAGGTACAGCTGAAAGATATGGCTCATTATTGCATACATATTCAGTGAACAAAAACCATCGATAAACACAGTAAGTAAATGAGAACGCATGTATGTACATCTACCACGTGGCCCTGTGATAGTTGAGGAATACAAGTAACCTTGCTTCCAGATCTAATTATTTTTCAACTTTTTAATAGTGTACAAAGGAAATAAGTAGCCATCACTGTAAGTATTTTTGGGAAAAGCAAAGTCTGGATATTCCATCTGCTTTTGATTACAGGTTAAGATAATATGAATCAAAATTTAGAATTTATCTAGAATGTTGAACATCAGATTTTTCAGAGCAGTGAAAAATCAGAAGATTGGAATCTGGATGTCTGAAATAATCCTCTGAGCAGTGTAGAATTGTTACAAAAGCTGGTACAACTATATTACCCAGTGCATATATAATGTACTGTGGACACATAGTATATGCACAGTGTATAACAAACACACTGCATATAACTAGATCCATAGTGAATATGCAGTCATAGTCCTGCTCCCCTTTCTGCAAATTTTCTTCACATAGGATCTAATCTGAATGCTGGCACAGCAGTCCTCTGGATTCCTTTGTAGGGAGACTAAAAGTAAAGGAAATAGCACAACTGACAAAAGCCACACTACTAAATTGCACTTTGGGCATCAAATCTCTTGTTCCGTCAGTTTTTACAGCAGAATAAGAAAATTTTGTTGATCTGCCATAAGCGTATTATTAGTGTATAAAGCCTATGGTGATTTGAAAATGAGAAGTTTGTTTATACTGACATAGCATCAGGCACTTTATTGTTGAGATGTTGCTCTTCTAGAAACAAAAGATTTGATCTAGTTGAGAAGCTGCCAAATTAGAATGTGATTCTTGATGAGAGTTAATTGTGTTTCCCAGTGAACACTTCAATCTTCTAGGATAATGATATGCAAAGAGGAAATGTTTTTAACTATATACACATTTAGCTTAGACTATGAATTACCTGTAACGAGATACTAATTATATATAAAAGTTAAGTAATGATGTGAATTTCTGAATTCATCAGGCATTGTCATCTGTTTCTTAGGGTGATAATACATTTCTGTTAAAAGCCTGCTAATCAAGAAGCTCCCCTTGGCCATTTTCCAATATCCAGATTTTCACAGTGGGTCGGGTTTCTTTGCCCAAGCTATGGTGTATATCTCTGGCTCTAAGGATCTGGCATAAGGATCAGTTGCAGGATCAAAGCCCCCTCTGGAGTTTATTGACTACTCCTACGCGCATTGCTGGGATGGGCAGGAAAACTTCCATTTCTAAGTAAGAAGAATATCAGTCATTGGAAAAAGGAAAGTGCAGATTCAGGACCCATGGCCTCTATGGTCATTTTGTTCCCTAAAAAGCAAGAGGGGTGTTGTCCTTCAGCATGGGGAGGACGACAGCTGGTCATAATCAGGACATTTAAGCAGAGCCGGGTAATTGCTGTTCATTTGGAGGGAAGTATCACTGGAGATATCAGAAGGGCTGCGTCCCCGAACCCATGTCTCGGGGTGAAGGAACTGGCCTGAGTAATCGGAGCAGTTGCTAAGACGGGGTCGGTAGAAGCCAGAGTGTGGCCGGTACATCTCTTCAGCAGTGTATCTTTTCATGAACAGGTAAACAGACATGACACCTGCACTCTGCAAGAGAGAGAAAGAGAGAACCAAAGCATTGCTTTGACCCATGGCTGGCCCTTCTGGTGGAAGGATAGGAAGCAATGTGCTATTGATCCAAGCAGACAAGACAGACATGCAATGAAACATATACCTGCAGCTTTCGTCACCATTTCTGGCATGATTAGAGCTCTTCTCATTGATAAGAACAGATCTGTGGGAAACTTTTGCTGGTAGAACTCCTTTGTAGTTGAACTATAATATTAAGTACCAATTCATTTGCTATTGACAGAAAAGCCATCAATCACTGTCACACTGGTCCACGCTTTTGTCTGACAAAAATACTCCTTTGCAGGTCTTCTAAATCAATAAGCAATTTTGAAATCTGTGATTTCGAGGGTAGGTGAGAATCGCTGCAACCACACTGGATATTTAGAGGGAAAATGCTTTAATAGGTGTCCAATTTCAAGAAGACAGAATAATTGATTTGTTCTTTTTTTCTTATATGAGTAATATTCTCAGAAACTATCCTTTCCTGCTTGCGTTCAGCTTCAGCATGATAATTCGTCTCAACCCCTTTTAGGCAGCATAGGATTATGAGCTGCACCTTCAAAAGAAGATTCCTCAAACAACTGTTCTCCATATAAGAGGGAGGCCAATATATTTACCAGCTTGCCTCTCTTTCAAAAGATAATCCCAAGGGAACAAAATCTCACTTGTTCTAACAGAGGAATCAAGATTTGAAAATGTGTTCAGGAAAACTATGATAAACTGCTTAAATGGAATAGAATTTATGTCAGCTGAACAGAGAAATACAGGTATTGGGTGCAACTCAGTTCCTGGCAGTAGAGAACAATTTGTTACTTTAGCTCAATTTACTGATTTGTCTATTGCCTGATTCCTTTTATTCTACAAACCTTTCCTCAGGGGAAAATGCTTTTTCTCTAGTACCATTTTGAGACATTTTTCCAGTATGGCTCACAAATGAGTATTGAAAATATGCTTTGGAACTGAAGAGAAGTTATAAGCAGATAACTGAACAAACATTTAAGACAGGGTTGTGATAAGAGGACTGAATATCTGTTAGAGTTAAAACAACTTTCTGAAAATATTCCACAGTATGGCACATGTATGAACTTCACAATTTTGATTCTGATATTAGTGAGGCCATAATGATAGGGTATAACCGAGTGGCATGTACTGTGTGAAAAATAAGAAAAATCCAGCAGTAAAGCTAATTTACCTTATTTTGAAGCAAGAAAAAAAACCCTCTATTGTTATCAAAATGGTTTCCACAGCTATTAAAAGTCTGGAGTCTAAACTGCCTTGAGTTACACTGAATGTTGGAGTCAAGATTTACCTATTTTATCTATTATAAATGGCAGACCTCTGACATGTAACTTCCAATCTTAGAATTCTTCAGCTAGTATGGCTGTTGCTGAAAATTATGGGACTTGTTGATCGGATATAGACATCAAGGTGCTCAGATGGGGGAAGGCGGCTGTGATGGAATTATTTTGTTATTAATTTAAAGGAACAGCAATAAAAATGGCACAATGTGATTGCCATGGAATATAAGGGCACTGCCAGTCCTCTTGGCCCCTGGGTACTTGCCCTCTTTGCTCCTAAATATACAGAAAAGATAGCAAACTTATGTTATCAAGTTTCTGATCAGGTGACAATAACATGTATTTCCCATAGCGTGTCCAATGAGTTCCTCTTACCTCAGTTAGGAGGAAAGAAATGGCAGAAAAACCAAATGACCAGCCATATTTGTAAGTGAAGTACGTCTCCGAGTCCTTGGTTCTATTGAGCATTTCATCATTGATGGTGGAGATGTACAATACTAGCCCCACCACCAGAGATAAACCTGGGAAACAAAAGGTTTTGTCAAAATATACAAGAAGGAAAAACAGCCTACTTCAGAGAATCAAAGCAACCTTCAGCTTGCTTTAGGAGAACTATAGAAAACACATGATCTCACCAACTGCTATAGGAGAAATCTCCTCATTTTGGTTCCTTCTAGAAAAGAGCACCACCACCACCACAGCAATATCCAGGTGTCTGGAGTTCAAGTCCCAGAATTCTCACTGAGGACCATGCTGGCTATGGAACTCTGGGATTTGAAATCCAAACATCTGGATATTGCCAAAATAGGCATTATAGAATTATTGGAAATTACCTCCCAGATGATCATCCTGGGACTGGGGGGGGGGGGGGATTAAGAGAAGTGACACCATGGACACAGAATTAGAGAAAGATGTTATAGGACTGCAACTCTCCTCATCTCTGCTCCTGGGAGTGAAAGGGAATTAAAGTCCCAGACTATCTAAATACCATAGATTTCCCAGTTTGTTTTAAGGGGGCATTTGCAAGTGTGGATAGGGGATAGTTAGTTGCATCTGTGGTTACTGAGAAATGAGGATTTAGTGCTAAATTAAGTGACAGATTTAAATTCTTAGAAACACTTCTTCTGATCTACTTGTAGATCAGGGACTATAAGTAAAAGTTTTTAAGCTCTGCAGCCATAGTTGTTTGTTTAGTACTCTGTTAATGCTATGAATAAAATATGGCCTTTCCCTCTCAAATGGAGACATGTTTCCAGAACTCTTTTCAGTTCAAGCCTCGTACACTAATTCCATTCATCATTATGTTCTAGATCAGAGATGTCAAACTTGCCACGTCACGTGACGTGTTGCGACGTATCGCGACTCCGGCAATGGGATGGATGCAGCTTTGATATGATGAAACTGGCCTGCGGGCCGGCAGTTTGACACCTCTGTTCTAGATCAAATAAAGTTTGTCTAGAGCTACATGGAAATGAAATATAACCAAGATTACAACTGTGAGCAAACTATGGGCTTTTATTGTGATTTTTGTTTTAAGAACTTCCTTTTATAATCTGTCCTGTAAGTACATAAATAAAATGTCTCTTTATATTTTATTATCTTTATAATACTAAAATATATTTCCTTGATCTTGCTAAGCTAAATGATTTTCCTAGTTGTACTTTATTTTGCCTTATATATTTAGATCTCTATGTCAAATATTTCTGTTGAAATATACTCAAAAGTAATTTCAAAAGTAAATTATTATTGTGGTTTTTTTTTTAAAAAAAACAGCCATTGTAATGACGTACAAGATGTCTCATTATATATTGGCTGTTGCAAAAATAAGGCAAAAATGTGACAGAGTTGTTCTAAATTGTCATGGAAACATCCAATTTAATGGAAATTTTAGCTATACAATTTCTTTTATCTGGTTTTGGTTCTATTTACTATATTTACGGGCATATTATATTTGGAAATTCTACTTGATGTCCATTGATATGCATCCTTGTAATAGGCTTTGGCATTATAAAGAAGAGTTTTATTTACTGACTATGTGATATATCACTCAGGAACAAAATAAAATCTGATTGATTTACATGCAAAATTTAAACACTTTCAGAGGAGCAAGCTTAAATAAATGGGGCATTTTTAATCAGGTTGCTATCGTGGAGTGGTTATCTGACACCCACCCTCTTCTGTTTCTTGGGGCATTCTTATAATTAACTATAATACCTGGGGTTGATTGGAATTGATTGATTGATTCTCTTTCTTTTCCACTCTCCCTCCAAGTAACTCAGGATGAGTATAATCCTTTCTGTCTCTGTTTTATTCTTATAACTTTGTGTGACAGTGTGAGAAATAGCCTCTAGCTCAATATCATCTAATGCCAATAATTACAGACTCTGACCAGACTTCTATAAGAAAACAATAAATTACAATAATGGAACAGTTTCTATTTCAAATAATAAGACAAAATACAATTATAGCCAGATCACTGAGGTGACCAAGGCTGCCTAGTTTTATAGATAGTATAACAAAAGTTAGACATATTCAAAGAAAGAAAAACTAATAATTAAGCAATTGCACAACTATGGCATTCTTCAATCAATCAGAATAGAGCTGGGAGGTCTTCTAGTCCAACCCCCTGCTCAAGCAGGAGACCCTATATCCCATATCCTGTTCCAATATCCTGTTCCAATGTTCTGCTATCACAGTACAAGGAAAAGCTAAATTCCAAACAGGCTCATATTCCAAATTGTTGCCTATTCTATCATTTCTCAGATGTCTGCCCCAGGGGCTTGAATTCAAATGTACCTTCCAACAAAGGTTATTTGGGGGGGGGGGGAGCTGCCATCTTAAAACTCACCAGACAAAATAAAGAAGATTCCAGACACGAAGGCCAAGATGGTTCTATGTGGCCGGATATGCCCAATGTTGCTCAAGATGAATCCAATAAACATGAAAAAGAGACTCACGAGTGGGAACGGGGTAGCAGAACGTATCATTTCTATAAAAAACCATAAGTGAGAAAGAGTCATTAAAAGTCAAAATAAGATTACAAGTAGAAAGGATATATTTGTACTTATAATTCATGAATTTTTCAGGGTTTTTTTTTCTGATTTATCTTTCTATGCAGTTCGTAGCAACCCTTAAATCTCAGAATCACCCCCAAATATGTAAATATATTCTTATCTGGTGTTTCAGAAACAGGGCAAATATCATGGGAAGGAATTTCCTACATCACTACAAAAATATACAGACAAATGCCTACAGAAAGCCCACTTTAGAAAAGATCTTTCTGCTTTCCATGAATTTTACATTTTTTCCCCAAATCTGTTTCCTTGGCTTGTATTTCTTTTAATGTTAAGTCCAGTTGAAAAGCTAAGGCTGCAGTGAGGAAATCCATAGATCCATACGATTAACCTTATGGAGGTTATGTATTTGTAACCTTCTGAATTACTAAACCACTCTGTGGACAATGTGCATCAGCAGAGAACAAGGCCCACCACCAGAAGACCTGTCAATCTAATGGGAGGGAAGGGTCACCTCCACTGTAGCTGCTGGGAGACTGAAAAAGAGGCTATGCCTGAGACTAGTGATAAAAGCATCAGATTTAGAGCCATACTGTCCTACCTCTCAGAAAAAGAGGCCTATGGGATAATTCCATATTACTGAATGGGGCAAATAATACCTTCATAAATTACATCTTATATTAAATCTCAACGACAGCTTTATTGACCTTTCTACCCATGCAGGTGGGACCTTCTCTCACAATACCATTTTAGATCCATTCATAGGCCTCCTTCTAAATGTTCTTAACCAAATTTGTGATAGGGAGGTTTCCTTCCTTTCCATTTGCCTTTACTCCTCTTTTGTGGGGTGGAGAAGGATTTGAAAGGAAAAGCTATCAGTATCACTTTCATCTGGGCAATCTAACTTCCTCTGGATATCAACTCCTTCAGTGGTCCGGGATGGTGGGGTTTGCTGTCCAAAACATCTACAAGTCATTGCATACTCTGGGCTTTGTTACTTGCGTGAAAGTTGACTAGGATAACATTGTATGTTCTGTCCACATTATCCATTGCCTGGATTCTCTTTCCAGACTGTTTCTGGTGATCAGTACCATACTTGATGAATGATGGCATTGTTGCCATGGACACTAGGAGAATGTCTGGCAGCATTGCTCTTACTGCATTACTCTTATTTGAAATAATAACCTATTGGTTTGCTGCTTGAACATTGATCACATCAAAGCAACACTACATGGAAATCAACAGTGGCCCAGTGGAATGAGATAGCTAGAACAGCAGTGCAGCCCTCTCCTTTTCTCTTCACAGGTACCTAGATACAACAGAGCTAACTTCAAAGAAAGCAACCAGAAATCAATTGAAAATGAAGCAACAGCTGGGTTTTCCTCCCTTCCCCTCCACAACCACTGATGCAGCTATTTGCTCAAGTAGTGCTGCAAAGATCTGGACAAGGACTAGATGACACCAAAAAGTGTTTTCTTCATCAATTTGGCACCATCTAGTGGCTATGTGCATTTTTGCAGGTTAAGATTCTTTATCTTTTCTCTGCACAAGGACACATAAAGGTAAATCTTCCCTGCCCCACAAAACAGGAAGCACCTACTTAAAACATTGATAGTTGATTCAGAGGTCAGCTGGACATTCATGGGCATGACATACTCTATTGTGAAACACCTCCCATGTTCTTCACCTGCAAAAGGAGAAATCTTAGAGAAATGAATTGCTTTTTTTCACACCCAAAAACTTTATTCAAAAGCAATCATTTTAAAGGTTTTAAATCAATTGTCCTCTTCTGCAGTACTGATCAATGAGTCCCTAAATTTCCAAAGATGTCAGGCTAGTCCATGCGAGCAACTGTAAAAAATGGCATGAGCAAAACAGCAAATATAGATGGATTCACTGCTTTCTAAGGGATTGTGAGATAGGGGTTCTCCTAGAGCTGAAAGAATATAAAACATGAAAGCTACATAGTTGATGAATGATTGAGAGAACTGGATATGTCTGGTCTAATGAAGAGGACTATGGGAAATATGGTAATGGTCTTTCAATATTTGGGGAGCTGTCACGCAGAAAAGGGGACTGACCTCAAAGCAGCTGAAGGAAGGACAAAAAGCAACCTATGGAAACTTGTCAGAGAGAGATCCAGCCTAGAACTAAGGAGAACTTTCCTGACTGTGAGACCAATTAACCAGTGTAATGGCTTGCCTCCAGAAATTGTGGGTGCTTCATCACTGAAGGTTTCCAAAAGAAACTGGACAGCCATTTGTCCAGAATGATATAGGGTCTCCTGCTTAAGTAAGGTGTTAGACTAGGAGATCTTCAAGATACCTTACAACCCTATTGTTCTATGTTCTAGGCACTGGGGGCCTTTATTTCTCTGTCCCATCATAGTCCTAAACTATGTTTTTTCCCACCACACCGGCAAACAAATCTCTATGTAAATTTGCTCTGAAGGAAAGTCCTACAGTGCTCTCAACCAGAGCTTTCCTTAGAATGCCAAATGCAGGAATGAGCCCCCTGTCCACATCATAACTCCAGAGGAAGCAAAATAATTAAACTCATTCCTCTCCCCAAGGGTTCTAATCCAAATAAATCCCCTAAATCTGCTGCTTACTTTTAAAAAGCATTCACACATCCACACAAGTGCTAACTGCACATATTGTGTCTCCAAAAATCTGCCACTTAAACACAGGCCTTGTAAAGCATCGTGAGCAAAAAAAAGGAGATTTGTATACACCCATTTTTCTGATTTGTGTTAGTTTTGGAGCTGTGACATTTATTATTGTTTCAACTTTCTAATGACAGCTAATAAATACAAGGTAGGGACAGGGCATTGCTTCCTTATTCTTCTTGGGTTGCTGGTTTGACTGTGGACAATTAGCTCTTGAAAGGATCCTGAATGCCAGTCTCCTAGATGAGCAAGTCATTGAGTCTGGACTGCGGCATTCCTGCCATTCATTATAGAACTGGCACTTTAAAATAGAAAAGGTCTAGAGAAGATTGAGAACTTATTACACTCCCCAGAATGTGGTCCTGGTCCTGGTGTTCTTACTAGGAATTGTTCTCTTTCTCCTAACTACAGGCAGTAAGCAACTTACAACCATTTGTTTAGTGACTGTTCAAAATTACAACGGCACTGAAAAAAAGTGATTTATGACCGCTCTCCACTTTTCAACCGTTGCAGCATCCCTATAGTCATGTAATCAAAATTCAGACCTTTGGCAACTGGCATGTATTTTATGACGGTTTCAGTGTCCCCGAGGTCATGTGTGATCAACTTTTGCGACTTTCTGACAAGCATAGTCAATGGGGAGGCCATATTTGCTTAACAACCCTGATACTAACTTAACTGCAGCAACTCACTCAACAACTGTGGTATGAGAGGTCATCACATGGGGCAAAACTCACTTAACTGTCTTGCGTAGCAACAGAAATGTTGGGCTTAACTGTGGTCACAAATCAGGGATTATCTAGAGACCTTTCTGGATGGGTTTTTCTAACAGGCAGATTTGTATTCCTATAATGATGCGACCTGCATCTATGTAAGCCTACATTGGGTGTCAGATTTAATTCATTCCAGATCACTTAATGGGAAGGGTTCCCCATCTTTAAAATAAGCTAACCATTCCCCTCCTCCCTTAAAATATGAAAATAAAAACAGCGAAGCAACAGAACTATTTACATAAATTAAATCGTAAGGGAACATTAATGGGATTTCCTAATACTTTCAAGGCATGAAGAGTAGAAGCACGAGGAAAACCAGATTTACTTTTGCCCAAAGCACCATACCTGCCAAAAAGCAAACCCTCCAGAGGCCGGAATGCAGAGACATCTTGATTTCGGTACTTTGGTTTTGGGGCAGAATGATCCCTTCCTCCAGATACAACCAGTAGTCAGTGCTCACCGCAATCCCCAGAAACCCCAATCCACTCACAGCAAAGACACTGCTGAGCAGAGTCAGCGCTTTCCTGCCGCAGGTGCTCATTCCCCAAAGCATCGGGGTACGATGGGGCACCAGAGAATTCCTGCATGGACAAAGACATCTGTCATCACTAACTGTAAAGTCTTCTTCTCTATGGAGCAAAACTATATCTACTCACTTTCTCTCTTGTAGCCACTTCGAGCAGCTGCAATAACATATCCTAATAAGTTAAGACTACAATCACAAGCAAAGATGTAGATTTTTTTTCCATACCTCTTAGCTGTCATCTGGAGGTAGTCTGGATCTTTTTAAGCCAGATAGAGTGGGCACATAAGAAACTGAAAATCCACATGTCATAGAGCAGTTTTACTTAATTATGATGTAGTTTAGGCTACAAAGGGCCTGAAGTATTGCCCATCAAAAACCTTCAAATTGAGGGCTCCGGGACACAAATGCAATTAAATACATAAACAAACAAACATTAAGATAAGGGCATATATAGTAAAGAATTCATATAAAATCAAAAAAAGCCCAAGCCAGGACGTACCTTTATCTAAATGAAATATCCCAAAGCTGGGAGTATAACATGGGACTGGGAAAGAATTGTAGAATGTGATAGATCAACCAATAAGTGTGGCAACTTGCTTTCAAGCTGATTGTTATCTGGAATGTCCCACTTTCTCTCCATTGTAACATTTCCTATTGGCTCATCCAGTTGCTTCTAATCTGCTGCTGGCAACCCACCTGGAATTGGATGCTAGCAACAGCCATGCATCAAAAACAACAGGCTGACATTGAGAGATTTTTTTCCCCCACTGTGCTATTATGTCAACAGCAGGTCAGTTAAGCTAGATGTGACATGACCAGAAGACTTTGAAAAGCATGTAGGAGTAGAACAAGGGACTAACACAGTGTTTCTCAACCTTGACAATTTTAAGGCATGTGGACTTCAACTTCCAGAATTCCACAGCCAGCAATACTGGCTGTGGAATTCTGGGAGTTGAAGTCCACATGTCTTAAAATTGTCAAGGTTGAGAAACACTGGCATAAGCTGTGACTACTACTGCTGGGAGAATGTTGGGTGCCTTGTAAGCTGATGAATGTCCCATCTGAATTTGGGGCTTGTCCCACCAACCTAGGCATTGTGTTGAAGTTCTTCAGCAGACTTCAATCAGTATGGAAAGACTACCCTAAAAAAGGAAAGGGTATTTGAGGATTCCCACATGAGGGTGGACCACTTTTTTTTTCAGTTAAGGGCTGTTCTCTGGCATGATGGAGACCACCCTGAAAAGGTAAGGAGACCATGTCTGAAAAGTGAATGAAGTCGACAAAAATGGGGTGGATATAGATAATCCATTGAGCTCCAAATAATTTGAAACAGATTGCTTCCAGGGTGGTTAAATATATATAGACATTTAGAACAAACACAATAGAATCACACTAAAACATGGGGGGGGGGAATCTGCCAATTTTCACCAGCAAACATGCAATGGTCCAAAAACCACACATTGGTGAGGAGTGGGGGGGGGGGAGATTTCAAGAGCAACCCAATCCTGGTCAGAATAAAGTACAATTTCAGTCATAAATTAAACTTTGCAATAGCAGATAGGGCAGCAATTAACTCAAACCAAGTCATTTTTATATAAAGGGAGAAAACCCTTGAGAAGGCAGTTGAAGAATATAAACAAAGGAAAATGTAATAGTACTGAAAATCAGAAGGAAAATAAATTAAAGCATCAAATTAAAAAAAACCCACACAGGCAACCAAGATTTCATGACACTTTGCAACACCTAAGAGCTCTTTCACAAGCCAAAATTAATTCCATATGCACAGATGACGAAAGTAGGTCAAAAACTTTATTTTAACACTCATTCACAACTCCAATTAAAGCTGGCAGCTGAAGCAGAGAAGTGTCAATACAGTCATTAGAAACACAATCTCCTTCAGAATGAATGGATGTATCAAACGACTATAACACTGACTTAATGCTACCACAGGCCATACAGTAATAACACAGTTCATGATCTCTTTGGAATTTACTCCAAAGGCTATGTCACTTAGTGCCAATAAATCCACAGGGGAATGTTATTTGATTAGCTACAGTGATTCCGTAGTATGATTGGAAAGGAGAAAAGGGGTCATATCAATTCTAAGGCCTTCTTTAGCTACCCCATTCATTTCTAGCTTTCAAAAAGACGATACTCTGATAAGCTGTTATGTAAAACAGGCTTGAACAACAGCCATGTAAAACAAAGAAGCTTGTAATAGTAGTAAAGTTGGAAGGGACCTTGGAGGTCATCTAGTCCAACCCCCTGCTCAGGCAGGAAACCCTACACCATTTCGGACAAATGGCTGTCCAATGGGCAAGGAAATGTTTAACAATAGAATGGGCAGTAAACGCTAAAAAATAAATGAGGAGAACAAATTCAGCTACAGATGACATGAAGAAAAAATGATCCTAAAGGACTGAAATGGAAGAATTTGTTGCACAGCAAAAGAGGGGAAAATGCAGGAAAATTACAGAAAGCAATGTGATAATAGAATAGGATAGAATAGAATAATAATGATAAAGTTGGAAGGGACCTTGGAGGTCATCTAGTCCAACCCCCTGCTCAGGAAGGAAACCCTATACCAGGGGTAGGCAACCCAAAACACTCAAAGAGCCACTTGGACCCGTTTCCCACCAAAAACAAAACACTGGGAGCCGCAAAACCCTTTTGATATCTAAAATGAAGATAACACTGCATATATCCTTTTTTACCTTTATTATAGGTGTGTGTATGTGTATGTGTGTGTGTGTATGTGTGTATATGTGTATATATACACACACATACACACACACACACACACACACACACACACATATACACATTAAAAATAAAAGTAAAAATATGACTCTTGGGAATATCCATACTATTAAAACAATGATCACCAAGAGAATGCTTTAAGAGAATAAAATTACATACACACACAGGTAAAAAAAGGATATATGCAGTGTTATCTTCATTTTAGATGTCAAAAGGGTCTCTCTCTCCCTCCCTCTCTATCTGCCCTTGGTCTGCCACTCCTCTTCCCCCACTCTCTCTCTCTCTCTCTCTCTCCCCCCTCCTGTCTGCTGCTCACCTGGCAAGCTTCAAGCTGTTGTCCAACAACCTCCGGGGTAAGCAACCTCATCTCTTTTATGACTCATGGACTTCAACTCCCAGAATTCCTGAGTCAGCCTAGCTGGGCTAGCTAGCTCTCTCCTGCCCTTCCTGCTTCCTGCAGAGACGCAGCAAAGGGAGGAGCTCCACCAGAAAGCTTTTCAGCTCCTCGGAGAACACTGTGAGTGCACTCTCTTTTACACATACACACACACACACACAACACACACACAAACACACACAGAGAGAGAGAAGCAGGGAAGTGCAATTGCCTCTCTCTGTCTCTGTCTCTCTCTGCAAAGGCAGAGGAGGCTGGGAGCCAAAGGGGAAGGCTCAAAGAGCCGCATGAGGCTCCGGAGCCGCAGGTTGCCGACCTGTGCCCTATACCATTTCTGACAAATGGCTGTCCAGTTTCTTCTTAAAAACTTCCAGTGTTGGTGCAGTCACCGCTTCTGGAGGCAGGTTGTTCCACTGATTAATTGTTCTAACTGTCAGGAAGTTTCTCCTTAGTTCTAGGTTGCTTCTCTGTTTGGTTAGTTTCCACTCGTTGCTTCTTGTCCTGCCTTCAGGCGCTTTGGAAAATAGCTTGACTCCCTCTTCTTTGTGGCAGCCGCTGAGATATTGGAACACTGCTATCATGTCCCCCCTCGTCCTTCTCTTTGTTAAACTAGACATACCCAATTCCAGCAACCGTTCCTTATATGTTTTAGCCTCCAGTCCCCTAATCATCTTTGTTGCTCTTCTCTGTACTCTTTCTAGAGTCTCACATCTTTTTTACATCGTGGTGACCAAAACTGGATGCAGTATTCCAAGTGTGGCCTTACCAAGGCATTGAAGAGTGGTATTAATACTTCACGTGATCTTGATTCTATCCCTCTGTTAATGCAGCCTAGCACTGTGTTGGCCTTTTTGGCAGCTGCAGCACACTGCTGGCTCATATTTAGGTGACTGTCTACTAGGACATCGAGGTCCCTCTCACAGTTACTACTATTGAGCATGGTGCCACCTATGCTGTACTTGTGCATTTGGTTTTTCTTGCCTAAATGTAGAACCTTGCTTTTTTCACCATTGAATTTCATTTTGTTAGTTAGTGCCCAGTATTCAAATCTGTCCAGATCCTTCTGTATCTTAAGCCTGTCTTCTGGAGTGTTGGCTATTCCTGCCAACTGAAAAAAAAAACATACAGGGTCATGTCTAACTAGAGGAGACATGTGATATTCTGAGAAGACAGAGGAGGTGTAACTGAAGGCTGCCACCCACTTTTATGTATGAAGCTGATAAATTATGATGGCACCAAATCAATCCTCATCTTCTAGGGACTGGCGTTTCAAGAGTCCTCAGCTTCCAAAATGCCCACAGAAATCATAGCGATATCTTTTCTCCAACAAGATGTGTTTCTTTAATATATTAATATGCCATTTTGTAGGACTGCCAGATCCTGAAGTAGTATACCAGACCAGAAGGCTGTGGACCATGCACACCACTGATGGTCATGCAACTTTCTGACCTCTCAGCGCTCACTGGAGAATCTTAAACACGTTTCCTTAACACCCCAGTGTTCCAGATTATATGAAGCTGACCCTGATCAAAAGGAAAGTATCACTATCAGCACTTGCAAGCAGAAGATGCTTAGACTCCCACACCAACTGCCACAGCAGCAAAATTTCAATAGGACTTATTCTTGAGCACATTTATCAAATGCAATTTCAAAGCCAATGTGTTGAGTACCCTTGTTTAACATTATTGGATCCATTTGCAGTGAGAACTTGGGTTTTCATAATTAAACCACTAATTCCTATGCATGATGGAAGGCAAAGCCATTTTTAACACACTTCCAGAGATCAATCAAATATGATGGCCATGTTGGGGTAATCTTGAAAGGATCCAGTACATCAGAAATGACAAGACTTTAGAGATGTTAATGCACTACTACAGCTTGAGCCTCCCTCACGATTTAGT